TATTATTCTGCTAATTCAAACTTTTAGCTAGCCTTTAGCTAATATAAGGTTTTTAGTTATTATTCTGCTAATTCAAACTTTTAGCTAGCCTTTAGCTAATATAAGGCTTTTAGTTATTATTCTGCTAATCCAAACTTTATTTTTAGGTAGCCTTTACCTACTTCCAGCTTTAAGTAAGGCTTTTGATTTTAGTTAGCCTTAAGCTACTTATAGATTTTAGCAAGGTTTTTGCTACTCTTACCTTTTAGTTAGTCTTTATATTTCTAATTATTAGTTAGCAACTAGCTATTTTAGCTTATAGATACCCCATGCCATTTAAAAATTTCAGTGTTTTGCGTTTTTAGCTTTTATTTGGAGGCCAAGCTCTTTTTAAGTAAAACAAATTGCTCGTCGCCTTACATGCTAAAGTTTTAAACAAAAATCTTGTGTAACTCTGAGTCTGTGTCAGGATGACTTTCAGCTACTTACGCACCAAATTTTAGCTAAAAATTTGTTAAACTGACTGAATAAAAATCTGTTTTTGTGCTTTAAGGTTAGTAGTGTGGCTCACCTGAGTCTTGTGGCTCACCTGAGTTTTGAGTCTCACCTGAGTCTTGTGGCTCACCTGAGTCTTGTGGCTCACCTGAGTTTTGAGTTTCACCTGAGTCTTGTGGCTCACCTGAGTCTTATGGCTCATCTGAGTTTTGAGTCTCACCTGAGTCTTATGGCTCACCTGAGTTTTGAGTCTCACCTGAGTCTTGTGGCTCACCTGAGTCTTGTGGCTCACCTGAGTCTTGTGGCTCACCTGAGTCTTGTGGCTCACCTGAGTCTTGTGTCTTTCCTGAGTCTTGAGTCTCACCTGAGTCTTGTGGCTCACCTGAGTCTTGAGTCTCACCTGAGTCTTGAGTCTCACCTGAGTCTTGTTGTCTCACCTGAGTCTTGTGGCTCACCTGAGTCTTGTGGCTCACCTGAGTCTTGAGTCTCACCTGAGTCTTGTGGCTCACCTGAGTCTTGAGTCTCACCTGAGTCTTGTGGCTCACCTGAGTCTTGAGTCTCACCTGAGTCTTGTGTCTCACCTGAGTCTTGTGGCTCACCTGAGTCTTGTGGCTCACCTGAGTCTTGTGGCTCACCTGAGTCTTGTGGCTCACCTGAGTCTTGTGGCTCAGCTGCTGGTTGATGATCCTCAGGTCCTCCAGCTGCTGCCTCAGCTCCAGCAGAGAGTCCTGCTTCTCACAGACGTCCTTCTCCAGCATCTTCATGGACAGCTCCACCTCCTGCCTCATGCCGATCTGCACCTCCAGCTCCCGCTCCACGTCCTGCACAGACCAGCCTCAGCTTTATCCTAAGCCCCGCCTCCACACAGCCGAAAAACATTACGGCCCGACCAGAGGAACTGAGACGCACCAATCGGAGCAACGTTTCCTCCTTCAGCTGCTTCCGTGTTTCACCGAGCGTCTGACCGTTGGCCGAAGACGCCTGAAGAAACAGAATATTTGGTTTATTAGATTTATTTTAGCAATGAAAGAAACGCTGAGTCATGGTTTTAGGTGAGGCATAAACAGCCGAAGTTTGGACAAGAAAAGTCTGAGAACTTGAGGGAGTTCTTGTTTTCATCAAGCAAAACTTCAAAATGAAATAAAACGCAGGCGAGGGTTTTAAATCATCCGAGCTAAAGAAAAACATTCGGCTGTTTTTACATCAAGTCATTTTAAAAAGAGAGGATTAAAACTTCACCTTCCTGGACTCCAGCTGCAACGAGCTCTCCTCCTTCACCCTCTCCACGTCTTCTTGTAAAGTAATGATTCGGTTATTTGCAACAGCGAGCTGCCCATACAAAAACAAACAACTGTGTAAACAACAACTCTGTAAACAACAACAACAACTCTGTAAACAACAACTCTGTAAACAACAACAACTGTGTAAACAACAACTGTGTAAACAACTGTGCAAACAAAAACAACTCTGTAAACAACAACTCTGTAAACAACAACAGTGTAAACAACTCTGTAAACAACAACAACTCTGTAAACAAAAACAACTCTGTAAACAACTGTGTAAACAAAAACAACTCTGTAAACAACAACTCTGTAAACAAC